GGTCACCTCGGCGGGGTCGCCGGCAATGACGACCTCATTCATGAAGTAGTCGAGGTTGCAATCGGCATCGTCCATCTCCGGATCTCGCCGAAACAGCTTCAGCTCGCCCGCGAACTTCCGGGTAAAGTTCAGGATGTATTCGATGGTCCAGCCAGCGTATTTTGGCGCGCCAGGCGTCGGGCTTCCGCCGTCGAGTCGGCCACGAAGATGTTGGCCGCAACCTTCCAGTTCTGAGGTTGGGGTTCCCGCCCGGCCTGTTGAGCCGCTTGGCTGTAGGTGATCCAGTGATCCTTCAGCACCTCGCGATGGAGCATATGGTGGCTGAAGGGCTGAAAGCCCCGGGCGCCGGCCATTTTGACCGTTCCCGAACCGCGGCTCATGCAGGGCACCGCGATGGGGGGATGGGGGAGCTGGAAGGGCCGGTGAACCACTCCGGTACCCAGCTCTGCCGAAACACTCTCCTTCAGACTGTAGTCCCAGAATGCCCCCGTCATCTCCCGAGGTGGCCTCTCCCCCCAGAGTTTCAGGATCATGTCGATGGATTCGGCGACCATGGCCCCGCTGCGCTTGGGGTCGACCTTGTGGACTTCCAGGTCGGAGGGAACCGCACCCGGCCCGAAGCAGAGGTTGAGCCGTCCCTTGCAGAGGTGGTCCAGGAAAGCCAGACGCCCGGCAACCTGGGCCGGGTGGTGGTACTGAAGGCAAATGGGCGCCGGTCCCAAGCGGATCCTTTCGGTCAGGGTAAAGGCTTTGGCCAAAAAGATCTCCGGCATGACGATGTTTTCGTAGCTGGATGTGTGGTGCTCGCCCACCCAGAACTCCTCGAATCCCCACTCCACGCAGCGGCCGATCAGCTCCAGATCCTCGTCGTAGCACTGGGCCTTGGGCTTGGCCGGGTTGTGGATGGGCATCAGGAACATGCCGTATTTCAGGGATTGATCGGGACTCATGGTGGATTCCTCACTGGATGGAAACCTCGCGGCCCCCGGCGTCACAGGCTCCGCCGGGCCCTCCGGAACGTCACCCGGGCAGGGTGTTCACGATCATGGCAACCGGAGTGAGGGTGATTGAAAGGATGCTGAAACTCCAGGTCCGAGAATGGCTGCAAAGGTTTTGGAATCCCTCCTGCATCCGTGCTCCGATTGGACTGAGGAGGTTCCCGAGGGCGTGCTTGCGGGGCGCTTGCCGTATGTCAAAGGCCGTTGGTTAAGGGGACTCGGATCCCCCAGATGCAAAACCGGAAACATATATTCAACCCCGGATAGAGTCAATCTCAAAAAGGGACGTCGGTTTAGGTGATTTTTGGGGAGGAGCCGTGTTTGCCGACCCGGAGCCAGTCGCGTCCCTCCGTCGAATCCGAGGTGTCGGCGGTCGGGGCAGTTCTCCCAGCGCCGCGGTTTTCTCTTTGAGTTGTCCTGGGACTTCGACTAAATTAGGTGGCTGATCCGCAGCCATGAGGCCGGGCCTCCGCCAGACCCGGGAACGCCGACATCGAAGGGAGACGAATCGAAGATGCCCAACGGGAACTGCTACACCGACGACTGGAAACGGACCAACCCCGACTATGCGGTCTATCTGCAGGAGGCTCCGGGGGAACGCGACGAGTATTCCGACCACATTCACGTCTTTTACACGCCTGGGGGCGATCTCATGTGCATGTGGACTCAGGGCTCCCATGAGAGTTCCCCCGACCTGCGGGTGGTTTGCTCCCGCAGCCGGGATGGTGGAAAAACATGGTCCCCGATTGTTGCCATTGACGAGCCCAAGTACAAGAACATGGTGCCGGCCCTGGGATTCCCCCTGATCAGCCGCACGGGGCGGATTTACTGCCTCTACAACCAGCACCTGGGTTACGGCGACGGGGGACTCTATTCCGGGCCCCTGCGGGTGAAATATTCCGATGACGACGGTCACACATGGATCGCCAGTGGGGTGGATCTTCCCTGGCGGCGGACCCGTTTCGACCACCCCGACCCCAAGGTCCATCCCAGTGGGATCATCTGGCAGCAGCCCATCCGGGACGCCCAGGACCGGGTGATCGTGGGATTCACCCGCTGGAGCAGTCGGATGGCTTATCCCCGTCCCATTGGGGGGAATCGCAACCACTCCGACAGCCGCATCGAGTTCATGCGTTTCGAAAACGTGGATGAAGGCCCCCAACCCAGGGACCTGAAAATCACCTGGCTGCCGGACGAGGCAGGAACCGTTCGGGTCTCGCCCAACATCGAGCCCGAGCACTCCCGCGGCTACAGCCTGGCTCAGGAGCCGGGGCTGGTGCTTCTGCCGGACGGGCGATTGTTCACCACCATGAGGACCGTGACCGGCTACATCTGGTACACCGTTTCCGATGACCACGGCCACAGCTGGCGCCCCACCCAACCCATGCGCTTTCGAGACAACGGCGCCAAGGTCGAGCACCCCAAGTCGCCCGAGCCCCTCTACCGCCTGGCTGATGGCCGTTACCTGTTCTTCTTCCACAACCACTCCGGCTACCGGGACGGGGCCACCGGCCCCTGGGACATGGACGCCCGCCGGCCCGTCTACATCACCGTGGGAGAGTTTCGCCCCCAGGCGGAACAGCCTCTGTGGTTCAGCGAGCCCAAGTTTCTCTTCGACACCCAGAAGGTCACCGCCGGGGTGACCCGGCTCTGGTGGCTGGCCATGTACGCCAGCCTGACGGAGAGGGAGGGCCGTCGAATCTTCTGGTACGCCGACCGTAAACAGTTCGTTCTGGGAAAGAACATCACCGACGAGATGCTGGCCGACATGAAGGCCCCGGAGGCTTGAGGTTCATGAACATGAAGAAGATACGGATGAGAAATCAGGTGCCGTTTGGGTGGCTGGCAGTACTGCTCCTTTCAGCCGCCATTCTCTGGAGCGGTTGTTCAGTGGCGCCTCCTCCCGGAGAGCAACCCGCGGCCGGTATTTCCGACGCGGATTCGGAGGCCAACGCCATCTATCTGGCCGACCTGGAGAAGTGCCAGCCGGCTTCCGCCCTGGCCAGTGAATGGAAACATGGCACCTGGCGGCTGCTCTCCTACGCCACCGATTCCTTCAGTGGCAACCTGCTGTTGGCCGCCGAGGACAACCAGCCACCTGAAATCACCTATCCGCTGCAGCGGGAAGGATGGCACCGGATCTACATCGGCATCTACCGCGAACCGTTCACCGGCCCCAGACGGTTCGGGTCCGCCTGAGCCACGACCAGGCCTTCGCCACCCTGACGGGGCTCGAGGGGGCCAAGGACCATCAGGAGCATTTTATCGATGATATCTTCTGGAAGGAAGCCGACCTCACCGGTAGGGACATCGTTTTTAAGCAGATCATCGAGCCCATGGCGGTGCACGCCTGGGTAGCTTACATCAAGCTAGTGCCCCTCACTGAGAAGCAGGTGCGATCCATCCAGACTGACCGTGGTCGTAAGGACACTAAGCGGCTGTTCATCCATAACGACGCCGGAGTGATCAATCGCAGCGGAACCGAGCAGGAGATCCGGGATGCGCTGGAACCGCTGCGCCATTCCGACGTGGCCCGGGTCTACTGGGAGTTCGGTACCGGCGACCGCGCCAAGCGTTTCTCCAAGATCGCCCGGGACCACTCGCTGGATTTGACCCGAGCGGCAGGGGGCCGTCCCTTCTTTACCAGCCCCGGCGGCCGCTGGTGGGCCGAGAGCTGGAAGGCCTACCACCAGAACGGGGTGGACCCCTTTCTGGTGGCTGCCGAGTACGCCCGCCAGTTGGGAGTAGAGTTCCATGCCTCCTACCGTCCCGGGGGCTTCATCTACCCGGCTAACTATGGTCCGGCGCTTCCGGGCGTCAGCTTTTATGAACAGCACCCGGAATTGGTCTGTATGACTCGCGAGGGCAAACCCATGCCCCGTATCTCCTATGCCTTCCCCGAGACTCGGCGCTATGTGTTGTCGCTCTTTCGTGAAGTGGCCACAGAAAATCCTATCGACGGAGTGGCGGTTCTCTACAATCGCCGCCCACCGCTGGTGGCCTACGAGGCGCCGGTGGTTGAAGGGTTTCAGAAAGAGTACGGCCTGGACCCGCGCCAGCTTCCGGAGAATGATCCTCGCTTCATGCGCCACCGTTCACAGTTCCTGACCCAGTTCATGAGAGAACTGCGGGCCGAGCTGGACCAGATAGCTCGAGAGCTGAAGAGGGAGACGCCCTTCGAGATCACAGCTGTTGTTTCCAATGGCGAAGAAAACCTGTTGTTAGGGATGGACCTGGCCACCTGGGTTGAGGAAGGTCTGGTGGATTTGATCATCCCCTATTCCTCGGTCGAGCGGATAGGAGCCTATGGAAATAAAGTTGGCCCAAACACATGGGACGGCGAACCCAGCTGGGAGGACCCCGAGGATGTGGAGTGGTTTGTCTCTCTGGTCAAGGGCACCCGAACCCGGGTGGCCCTGAACATGATGCCGCGGTTCCTGACGAAGGAGGCTCAATACCGCAAGGCACACCAACTTTACGAGGCCGGGGTGGAGAACTTCTTCTTCTGGGACGGGACCCACCGAGTGCGCAATGTTCTGCGGCTGGGACACCGGGAAGAGGTGTCTGACTGGATGGCTTCGGGTCAGCCTCCCTTCCGACCCACCGCCGTAAGGGTTTGGGAGCTGGGGGGATGGGATCTGCACACGGAAACCCCCGGGTAGACGGCCTTTACCGGTTTCGGAGAGAGAGGCCCCCCCCACCGGCTCGACTGCGGGCTTCGCCCTGGCCTCGCCGACTCCCCCTCCAGGGGGGAGTGATTCTTGAGGCCTGCACAAGGCTCCTTGCCCAATGCCTTGGCATGATGTAAATCATGTTCCCGGCCCAATGTGTAAACGACGTCCCCGGTTTGTAACGCGAGAATCACTCCCCCCTGGAGGGGGAGTCGCAGAAGCCGAGCCGCCAGGCGAAGGCTGATGCGGTGGGGGGGACGCCGGATCGGCGCCGGGGATCGATATTTATTCCATTTCGGAAGGGTCCCCCGGGGCGGGCGGCCACGGCCGGTCAGGGTCCTGCTTGCCGGTCCAGCCGGATCAGCGTCTGCAGCAGCAGGTTGGCTCCGTTGGCGACGTCCCGCGGGTGGGTGTGCTCTTGCGGCGAGTGGCTGATGCCGCCCACGCTGGGAACGAAGATCAGGGCCGAAGGAGCGATGCGGGCCATATTCTGGGCGTCGTGGGCGGCCCCGCTGGGCAGCCGGGCGTAGTTCAGGCCCATGGCTTCAGCCGCTTCCCGGATCACCTCCTGCAGCTTCGGGTCGGTCAGGGTCGGCTCCACTCCGATGTCGATTTCCTTGAAATCGATCCCGGTGTTCGTCTCCTGTTCGATGAGTCGTGCCTGGCGCCGGATTTCCTGGAAGACCTGCTCCAGCTTGGGTCCTGCAAGATCGCGCAGCTCCAGGCTCAACTCCACCCGTCCGGGGATGACGTTGGGAGCTCCCGGCTCGGCCGTGAGGCGTCCCACCGTGGCTACCTGCCTTCCGGGCAGACTTCTGGCGGCCTGGTGGACCGCGATCACCAGCTTGGCCGCCGCCAGCAGGGCGTCCTGGCGGGCGTTCATGGGTGTGGTCCCCGCGTGGTTGGCAAAGCCCTTCACCGTCACGTCCCACCAGCGGATGCCCACAAAGCCCTCCACAATGCCGATGTCGGTCCCCTCCGACTCCAGGCTGCCTCCCTGCTCGATGTGCAGCTCCAGATAGGCCCTCACCTCTCCGGGGCGGCGAATGGCCCGGGAGATCCGGTCGGCATCCCCGCCCAGGGCTGCAATCCCCTGCCGAATGGACATTCCGCTGCGGCTGGATTCCTTCAGTGCCTGGGCATTGAGCCGGCCCGCCAGGGCGCGGCTGCCGGTCATTCCCCCTTCTTCGTTGGCAAAGACAATGACTTCCAGCGGGTGACGGGTCCGGACCCCATGCTCCTCCAGCACCTGGACACACTCGATGGCCGCCATCACTCCCAGCACCCCGTCATAGGCCCCGGCCAGAGGCACGGTATCGATGTGGGACCCCAGCACAATGGCGGGGCGCACGGGCTGGCGTCCCTGCCGGCGGCCCGACAGGTTGCCGGCATCGTCGACCCGAACTTCCAAGCCGGCCTCCCGCATTAACCGGGTCACGTACTCCCGGCCGCGGAGGTCGTTCTCGGTGAAAGCCAGCCGGGTCACTCCCTGGGGAGTTCCTCCGATGCGGGCCAGCCGGTCGATGCGCTCCTGGAGGCGTTCCGCATTGACCACGAGGGCCGGCGGCGCGCCGGAATCGGCGCCGTGCAAGGGATATCCAAGCAGCAGCACGCCGAGCACCAGCCGGCGCAGGCCGGACAACCTGAAGGAGTTGGATGGCCGCATAGGCGTCTCCTGGTTTGGGCGGATTCCGCTTCTCGTCCAATATGCGGCTAGCCCGGATTTCTCACCGGGGGGTTGCACTCTTCTCAAGAGTGCAACTTGGCGCCGTAATTTTTCCCTCAGCGCGTGCTCGCGAGCGAAGGGCGTAGCGGGGACTACGTTCGAGCGAGCCTGTGCGCGCTGAGGGGAAAAGGACAAGCCAGGGCGCGCCCAGCACCGTGTGTAACCGCAAGCCGTCAAAATAGGACCAACAAGCTACTGAAAATAAAATGCTTTTCATGATCTATCAAGCGACCCGGTGAGAAATGCGGGCTAGAGCCGGGGGCCCCCGCGGCAGCCATCATACCCGATGCAGGGGTGATTGGCGGGACTTGAAGCAAGCGTCTGATTTCCCCAAGGAATTCGTCACCGCATTCCATCTCCCGAATCATGGCAATCGCGCTTCCGGCACGGCATTGTGCGCCTTGCGCTTGTGGTGGTAACATGCTTCCAACTTGGAACGGAAGCCGAGGATGAAGGAGACCTGACAATGCGCGGCTCCAGCCGCAGAGTACTCCTCAGGAAGATGGGCCTGATGGCCGGGGCGATGGCGGTGAAGTCCCCGATCGCCGGATTGGCCCGGCCGTGGTCCCCGAACCGCCCCGACATGGACCGCCTGCGGGAGCGGATCCAGGGCGTTCACTGCTTCATGGTCACTCCCTTTCATCCCGACGGCAGCCTGAACGCCGAGGGCCTTCGCCGCAACATCGCCCGCCACGCCGATGCCGGGGTTCGGGACATGACCATCGTGGTCGGGGGCGGCATGGGGGAGATCTTCTCTCTGGATCTGAAAGAGCATCGCGCCATGGCGGAGGCTGCGGCCAGTGGGGCTCAAGGCAAGCTGCCGGTGGTGGTGGGGGCTTGCGGCGGCTACCGCATGGCCAGGATCATGGCCCGCAACGCCCAGGAAGCCGGAGCCGATGCCATCCTCCTGTTCGCCCCTCCCTACTGGAACTGGATTCCCGGATACGACGAGGGCACCATTGGGTATTTCACCGAGGTGGCCCGATCGATCGACATCGGCGTGGTGCTGGCGACGGTGTCGGGTCACAACTTTCCTACCGGCAAGGAAAAATACTGGCCCAAGGTCTTGAGACATCTGGCCAAGCTACCCAACGTCCTGGGGTTCGAGGATTCCAGCGGCGATATCGCCATGGGACAGGAACTGGGAGCTCTGGTTTCCGACCGGCTGGTCTGGATCGCCCGGGGCGAAGGACACGCCCTGCAAGCCTTGCCGGCCGGAGCCCGCGGCAACACCTCGGCTGTGGCCACCTTTGTACCCGAAGCCTGTCGCGAGTTTTGCAGTCAGGGGCGCATGGGAAAGGTGGAGCGCATGCAGGAGGTCCTCCGGACACGGATCCAGCCCATGGCTCGGGTGAGATCCCTCAAGCCCGGGTACCACGTGAGCGGGATCAAGGTGGCCCTGGAGGCCTTGGGTCGGGCCGGCGGTCCGGTCAGGCCCCCGGGGAGGGCCGTGCTTCCCGAGGACCGGCCCAGGATCGCCGCCATCGCCCGCGAGCATGCCGAGGATTGAACGCCGGCGGTTGCTCCGGGAGTGGAGGCCATCCCCACCTGATCCGGAAATCATGCAAGGGACGAGATTCGTGAACCGGCACTACCTTAACTCCGGAAAAAGGATCGGGAGCGGCATGCGGGCGGTCTGCTCGGGACCGGCGCTGCTGGTCCTGCTACTGGTATCCCATGCCGTGGCCCAGGAAATACCGGCTCCAATGCCCACCGAGCCGGAGGCCCACTGGATCTATCCTCTGGGAGGCCGCCAGGGCGCCCGCGTCGAGGCCGAGGTCGATGGCCGGTTGCTGCAAGAAGTGCACGCCGTCTGGTCGCCGGAGCCGGGCCTGAGGGGCGCCATCCTGGAAGTCCGCCCCGGGCCGGAACGGACACTGGAGGCCGAGGCGGGCGCCGACGGGAACAAGGGAAAGGCCCAGACCCAACGGGTTGCTCTCCAGTTGGAGATCGGTCCCGGGGTCAGGAGAGGAATCCACTCCCTCCACTTGGTTTCCAAACGGGGAGGCTCCAATCCGCTGAGCTTCCTGGTCAGTTCCGATCCTGTGGTGGAGGAGTCCGGGGATGCCGGTCGGGGCGCCTCCGAGCCCCAGACGGTCCATCCCCCGGTCATCCTCAACGGCAGGATTTCCCGCAACGCGGAAGTGGACACCTACGCGGTCGAGGTCGCCGCCGGGGAGGACCTCTCTTTCCAGCTCTTCAGCCCGGCTGAGACCTATCGGCCGATCCTCCAGCTGTACAGGGAAGAGGGAAGCTGGTTGCAGGGAGACAAACCGGCGGAGCTGGAGTTCAGCTACAAGGGAAGTTACAGGGCCTCGCAGGCCAAGCGCTGGCGCCATCGCTTCAACCGTGCCGGCCGCTACCTGGTCGGAGTGGGGTCGGTCTACGGCAGGGCCGAACCCGAGTTTGTCTATCAGTTTCGCATCGTACCGGCTGCCCAGGGGCCGGGATACGACGAATGGCCCGGTTCCGAAGGGCCGGCCAAGTGGAGCGAGCGCCAATACCTCAGGGAGTTGACCCCGAACAGGCTGCGCCAGCTCTGGGCGCGTACCGTCAAGGATGCCGGCATTCCAATCCGGTCCGAGGGCGACCCGGGGACGGAGAAGCCGTCGCGGGGGCGCACGGGCAAATCAGGCTCGCCCGATCCCTCCTCGGAGGGGACAAACCCGGACCCCACGGTCTTCGAGGAAAAAGAGCCCAACGGAGGCCGCGACCAAGCCCTGGCGGTTTCGCTGCCGGCTCTGATCAGCGGCAGCATCGAAGCCCCTGGGGACGTGGATTTCTTTCGATTTCAACTTTCGGCCGGGCAGACGCTGGTCTTTGAGGTGGAAACCCCGCGGGTGTCTCCGCCGGCCTTCAGTCCCAGCCTCAAGGTGTTGGATTCCGCCGGCCACCAGTTGTTCGACAACAAGCACCGCAAGATTGCCCTGACCCGGCAGGACCCCATTTTTCTGGTGGAGCTGCTCAAGCTCCATCTCCCTGACCGGGGAAGCTGCAGCATCGGATCTCTTGCCTTTTTTCGAGTCGCTGGAGGCCAAGATGGTGGCCGAGTTCGGCGTTGCCGGAGAGTACACGCTGCAGATTGGCGATCTGACCTCCGAGCAGGGCCATTCGGTCCATGCCTACCGGGTTCTGATTCGCCCCGCCATTCCGCACGTGGGGGAGCTTGAGCTCGAAGGGGATCGAATCAATCTCACACGGGGCCAGGTCAGAACGCTGAAAGTGACCACCGGCCTGGAAGAGGGTTATTCGGGCCAGGTGGCCCTGAGCCTGGAAGGCCTGCCTCCCGGGGTGGCGCCCTTGACCGGCACGGAAGTGGAGCTCCCCAGCCCCATCGGGCCCACCACCGAGAGCCGAAAAAGCTTTCTGGGGTTCAGCGAGAAGGCCGTCATCCTGTTGCGGGCCGATGAGCAGGCGCCGTTGACGGACATACCGGTGCGGGTCAAGGTGTGGGCGCGGCCCGCTGTCGACAATGAGCTCGGAGCCCGGCTGCCGGTGGGCGAGTTTCCACTCATGGTGATTGATGCGCGGGAACAGGCGTCCGGTTCGTGAGCCAGAGGGACCCTCGGGTGGAATCGGCAGGGTCCGGAGGTGTTTCATGGGGAAACCTGATTGGAAGAGACTTGTCCGGGGGTTGGTGCTGAGCCTCCTGCCGATCCTGGCGCCCGTACAGCTGGAAGCGGAGAAAGATAGCCGACCCCAGTCCGCAGAAGCGGCAGCGAGCCCGAACGGCTCGGCAGGCTCCGGCCAATTCCGTTCCCCCGAGAGTCTGCGGGACGTTCGCCTGGTTCCCTCTCAGGTGAGGCTGCAAGGGGAAGGGGCCTCGCAATCCTTCCTGGTGGTGGCCACCGACGCTCGGGGGCTGGAAGTCGATCTTACCTCCGAGTCGCGGTTCAGCCTGTCGGATGACCGGTTGGCAGAGGTCGGACCCGAGGGGCTGCTGAGAGCGCGCCGGGACGGAGAGGTCAGACTGCGGGCCGAGGTCGCCGGGCGGAGACTGGAGGCAGCGGTTCATATCGAAGGGACCGCACGGGCCAGACCCTTCGGCTTCGCTCGCGATGTGGTCGGGGTCTTTACCCGCAACGGTTGCAACGGGAGTGAATGCCACGGCGGAGTGAAAGGCCGCGGCGGCTTCAAGCTGTCCCTGCATGGTATCAATCCCCGGGAGGACTACCGCTGGACCGTCACGGGCGGGGTCTATCAGGTGTTGTCGCCCAAAGCTGCCGAGCCCTTTGCCCCCCGGGTCGACCTGAAGGATCCGGAACAGAGCCGATTGCTGCTGAAGCCCACAATGGGGTTGCCCCACGGGGGAGGGCAGCGCTTCGAGCGGGACTCGGCCGACTACCGGAGGCTGCTGGAATGGATTCTCCAGGGAGCTCCCTACGGTGCCGGCAGCCAGGCGGGGGCGCGGATCGAGCGGCTGGAGGCCTCTCCGCGTGAAGCGATCATGGAGCCCGGGGCTCGGCGGCGACTGCTGGTGACCGCTTTTCTTGAGGACGGCCGCAGTGAAGACCTGAGTCCCGAGGTGCTTTACGAGAGCAGCGATCCGGCTGTGGTCGAGGTCAGCCCGGCGGGTGTGGTGCGCGCCCTCAAGCCGGGGCAGGCCAGAGTCTCGGTACGGGCGGCCGGGAAGCTGGTTCAGGTCCGCTGCGGGGTGATTCGACAACCTCTGGACCACTATCCGGAAGTGGCCAGACGCAATGTCATCGATGACCAGGTCTTCGATCGGCTGCGAGAGCTGCACATCCTTCCGGCGGGTCTGTCAAGCGACTCCGCCTTCCTGCGGCGGGTTTGTCTGGACCTGACGGGGACCCTGCCGCCCCCGGAGCGCGTGCGCGAATTCCTGTCCGACCGGGATCCTCGGAAGCGGGAGCGTCTGATCGAGCGGCTGCTGAACTCGCCCGAATTTGTCGACTACTGGACGTTCCGCTTCGCCGACT